GCTGGGCCGTGGCAGGGTTTTTGGGAATCCTCCCAATATTGGGATGGAACTGCATCCGCAGACTGGACCAGTGTTCAACGGTGCTCCCGCTTTATGCCAAAAGCTACATTCTGTGCTGTGTGTCTGTGTTCAGTGCTGTGCTCTTGGCCATTGTGGTGCTTTATGTGCGTGTTTTCCGCATCGTCCGCACCAACACACAGCGCCAGCGGCTTGGCTTGTCAGGCAGCATAAGGAAGGGCTTAGCCAGGAAGTCAGAGAAGTACATTGCTCTCCTCAAGACAGTCACCATTGTCTTGGGAGTCTTCATCGCCTGTTGGCTGCCCCTTTTCATTCTCCTCCTGATAGATTTTTCCTGTCCCATCCGTGGATGCTCTGTGCTCTACAAGGCTGAGTACTTCCTGGGAGTAGCCATTATCAACTCGCTTCTCAACCCCATCATCTACACACTGACCAGTAAGGACATGAGGAGGGCCATTCTGAAGCTCCTCTGTCGGCCGTGTCTAATGACCTCGGATGGGCAGGTGAAGAAGATTGGGATGCCATTCCTGGAGTGCAGTTTCAGTAAAACTGAGGTGCCCTCCCAGAAGTTAGAACCGGGTCTGGAGACCACCATTTCGTCTGGAAATGTCATCACCACTCCCTCTACAATTAAAGCCCTATACCCCAAACTTTTTAAGTCATAAAGACTTTGACTGACTGTGTCCAAAATGTGTAAATGGGTTTCCCGCTCAATGGAGGATATGTAGCACATCCACTATTGAGAAACAGTTCTGTGGGTTTTTTTTTTTCAAAGAGCCAAAGAAAGGGGGGCATATGAAAGACGATGACTCACCTTTGACAGTGTGGCGCAGTTATGGCAATATAACTGAATCACCGAATTTCATTTTGATGAAGCATACCAAACCAGAGAGCAAAGGATGTAATTCAAATGTGAACAAGCAATGGTTTTTATGTATATGATGCTAGCAATATGTCTCCTTTATTAATTTGCACTGACATATGCAACCTTGGACTCAATTATTTTCCTGGACTTCTGTATTTTGTGTGAAGCTTAGAAGGATGCTTCTGTAAACTCAAAGAGTGAAAGACTGAAAACTATGTACTTGCTGGAATAATATGGAGGCTAACGTTTCTCATCTTTGTGCCTTAAAGTCAGAATAAAAACTCCTAACAGTTACAGTGTGTAATCAGCAGACACCTGGATTTCGCTGGTTCGAAGACTGATCGTGTGGTAGATTTGCACGCGTAGATGTTTGGTTACACATATCTGTGTATGTGATGCAAAGGAATTAAGTTGACAGGAAAGAGGTGGCACCCTTCTTGAAATTACTGAATGCTGAATGCAAATAAAGTATGTGGGAGAGGAGGTGAGAATTAAAACCCCCTGACAGTTTTGAAATGACAGATGGTTAACCTATCTGCGGTAGACGTGGAAAGTTGTTGGGGTCGTGTCCAGTTTTTTTGAAATGTCAGCCTGACATCTGCAGTAAAAACCGCTGCATTTACAAAATGTCAGCATACTTAGCATGGGATTAACTGAAAGATAATGTTACAAGTAATGTTTACTTTCCACTGGCTGACAGCTTAACTCCAACTGAAACCAAATCAGCTGCAGTTGCATCATGTCAAGGCTTTACATTGCAGCTTGTGAAGAAGACAACCTTAGGAAGAAGTTCATTCAGCTGCATCACAATTTTTATGGATAAAAATATTTCTGCCTTTGTAAGTTACAGCTCATTCTAAACTGGTATAAATTTACCGAGCACTTGTTTCAGAGCTTCCTTTCATTGTTCATCAAGTTAACAGAACATTTCAGTTAAAGGTACTGAATGATTTTTTTTTTTTTCTTACGTCATTCAAGACTTTAATTGATTAAATGAGGTTGTGGGTTTTTTGTACTAAAATGTATGTAGTGAACTTGATGTATTTGTGAGCATATTTTATATATCTCTATTGTAAATTATATATATATTTTGTAACAAGAAAACGTTAGCAAAATTTGTGTTTCTTTTCATAAAAGAAATAAAGTGTTTCTCTAAAACATTCCAATGGGTTTTCAATTTATTTTCACTGTTAGTGCCCTGCAGCATTCTTAAGTGCATCAGTGTGTATTACTGTGTTAGTGTAGCTGTGGTTAAGCGAAGAAGTATCACAGGAAGTCAGCCTCCCTCATTTCACATCTGGTAATGGCATTGACCTATATACTTCAACTTTAGCCCATCTCAGTATGGCTTAACCTCCGCACAATGCCTCTTTTAAATAAATACTTCTTCACCTGTGGTTAAGAGTTACTATCACCTCACACTGATCTGGCCTCCACATTGCCAGTCATAGTTAACATGTAGAGAGATTACACAGCTGTTATGTATCCAGTTAAGCTACAATAGAAAGATATTGATTGATTTGCAGAAAACTAAAAGAAGCTGCTAAATGGTTTTTCAGTTGTTGTTGTTGTTGTTGTTGTTTTGTCAGGCCACTGTTAAAAAAAAAAGAGTCAATAATGCAAAGCACGTCTAGTGTGACAGACAGTAGATTTTTTTCATGTGATTTTAACTGTCTTTGCCCTAAAGGCATTCTGCAGTCAACCATAAACCCCTCTTCCAGGCGTTTGCTGTATCCACTGTGCCTGCTGGCAGAGGTCATCAAGTCAGGGAATCTTTCCTGTCCTCCAGCTTGCTTTTTGTTGCAGCAGACTCAACTGTTCGAAGTCATGACCACCAGTGACTTATAAATAAAAAAAGTTGGTATGTGGTTTTTCAGGGTTTTTTTTAAATGTCACACCACTGTTAGAAATAAGCTGTCAATAATGCCCAGCACACCAAGTGTAATAGTGCACCCAATGTAACCTTTAATAAACACTGAACACTAAGGTTTTGTTTTGTTTGTTTTTTTCCTGTCAACCAGTGATTAAGAATGACTATCCCCTCACTCTCACTGGCCCTCCACATCGACTATAGTTAAAATAAAGAAAAATTACGCGGCTGTTATGTGTCCAGCTAATTTAGCTCCTATAGCAAGAAAACTGTGTTTAGTGCCTGCATTTATGTCTACATTTGTCTTATAATACTGCCAAAGTTACAGTTATGAAGACATGGTTTTTAATGCTAACATGCAAATCTGGTAAAGACTGTTGGTTGATTTGCATGAAGCTAAAATAAGCTGTTAAGTTCTTCACTTGTTTTTCAGTTGTTGTTGTTTTTGTCAGGCCACTGTTAAAAAATGTCAACAATGCAAAGCATGCCTATTGTGATAGATAGCAGATATGTTCTTGTGATTTTTACTTTCTGTGGCCTATAGACATAAGCCCTGCCTCATGGTGCTAGAATAACTCTGATATGATTTGTACAGTGCAGGTGTTCCTCCAGATGTTTGCTCTATCCATGAGAACTGTGCCTCCTGGTAGAGGTCAACAAGTCAGAGAATCTTTCCTGTACTCTGGCTTCCAATCTGCTGCAACAAACTCAGCTGTTATAAGTTATGACCCTTGATAGTCCCTTGATGCCACAGGCACAAATTAAAAACCTGTACTTTTCCTTGCTCTAGCAGAATTGGGGAAATTACAGAGCTGGGGAACTGATAGTCCAAGTGTGAGTGCACTCTTAACCAACACTTGGACTATCAGTGTATAGGAAGCATCCATCTAGAAGAGCAGTTTGGTGCCTCAAGGCTTACTTCAGCTTTTTCCTCTGATTGGATCTTTACGCAGACACACAACAGAGTCTTGGGGGAACTCTAAGTGGTGTATGAAACATGACTTGTCATTTCATATCTAGGATTTGCCAGTCCTTTCAGCCTTAAGGTGTATAGATGGAATGTTATTATGGACTGCTTGATGTGATGAGCGGTGAACTGTGGTTGCAGAGCAACAGGGCTTAAATGTCTTGGTTATATTATGGCAGCTCATTCCACGGGAGTAAACTCAAAAGTGAATGTTTATGCTTGCAGTCTCACAGTTAGCTTTTGGTGCCACCTTTTGGCTTTTAGGCAGAACATCAAATTCTGTGACCTGAATTACGTGTTTTGGAAGGAGGGGGAAAAAACCTTAGTGGTGTGTCAGCACTGCAAACAGATTCATCCCAAGCTCCTGTGCTATGTAGGAGTCATTCATGTTTTAAAGCAGAACTGCAGGAACATTATAACCATGTCTCTAGAGCACACACCATTATGTCTGAGCAACACAGTGATCGTTAAACAATGCCAGTTTAGTAATTTCCTGCTGGGGTTTCAACAATTACTCATACAGTTTTGAAGGAGTTTTACTGCATTATTCTGTTTATTTTCTCATAATGAGATCCCTTTTTAAGTTGCTAAAAGAAGTACCTGTTTTGCAGTTTTATCCTTTATATGGTATTTGTATCAGATTTTGATTGACGTTAATGCTGCAGTTTTTGGCTCCCTGCCAAAAACTGGCCCAGCTTTTCCTTCGTTTTAAGAATTCCTTCTCAATAAAAGCCCCCTCCCACGGGGAGCGTTTGTCTGCCTTTACTAATAAACAGAGGCGGGCCGACACTTTGGTGGCGAGCTCTTATTGTGAAGGCGAGATGAGGCCGGCACAATGCTTAGTCACGCTGAGTTACAGCTTTCCCCTCCTTTCTGTGTGGCTCGCGGCTCTGCAGACCGCGATGGAGGAATTGTTCTAGACTACGGTAATTCTCTGTTATTCCAAATTTAAGGAGCCATTAGTGATTAATGTCAGTTGTTTGGACATATCTGGATTTTGTGCGGTCTTGTTAGCAGGAATATATTTTGATACCGCTTTGTTAGCACGTTTGTTGCGAGCTCGGCTCACAGCCGTTACTCTACTGTCTATTATTAGGAGCCTATTTTGCTGTCAGCTCTGTTTCCGAAACGTTTGACTTGTTGTTTTGAGGGGGATTACGGCTCTTTCATCGTGAGACCTTCTGAGTTCACCGTCGTTGCAAACCCACCAGAAACCTTCAGCCGATTTTGCTTGCTCTGCTCTACCTTTGCATGCCAGGTCTGTGGATTATTTTTGTTTTACAAACGCAAGCTCAGAAATGATCCTCGTAGAGGACACACGATGGCTTTTTGTGTGCTCTTCATGTTAGGTAAATGGCGCGGAAATCCAAGTCCATCAGGGTTTATGTAAGGGACTGGCTTCACTTCTGGGTCATGTTTTGGTACATCCAGTTCCACTGTTTGCTCGGTGAAGAGTTCACGATGAGTCACCGAGGAGAGCTGGTTGCCAAAATGCCCGAGAAACGCGCTGGACTCTGTACTTGTGTTTGTTTCACTTCTGGCTCGATTGCGTTAGCTTGCTTTGTAGCACAAAACAAAATAAAAATCGCTGACACAGCTGTAGGTGTAGCTCAGATCAAACTGTTAAACTTGTAGAGTCCCTCCAGTTGTTGTAAAACACCCAAGACCTGTAGGCCTGAAGGGTGGCACGCCGACGTGCAGGGTCTCTGTCAGGGGTGAGTGTGCATCTTTATTACTGTGCTATTGATGAGCCAACTTTCTTGTCAAGATTAGGGTTGCAGTGGAAGATTTTTAGCAGCATCAGCATAAATCGCTGGTTTATCGTTCACGTTCGTCTTTTAAAGATGTATACTGGACATTTTCAGTTTCTGTTTGAGTTCGTCCTTTAGTAAGGATTTACCACTGCCAACTCCTTGAAACTTCCTTGTTTAGTGTCACCGTCGAGTGACAGTTTAATTGCACCTGTAATGAACAAGTTTTTTCATGTTAGAGGAGGAAAACCCTCCAGATTGTTTGCTAGGAGTCATTTGGCTTATGGCTTGTGAAATTTCAGGATCTCCCACATGTGTCTTAATAATAAATGTTATCATAATACGTGCAGTGTTTGTCAGCTGATTCATCAATTGATTGATTCAACAACAGATACTATCTTTAGAGCGGCTTGGACCCAGTTATACCTGTCGCATTCATCATACCCCAAAACGTGTTTTTATTATTGATGAAATGTCAGAGTAATGCAGCAGGTATAGCGTGGGACTTGGAGAGCTTGTTTGTCAGTGAGTCGTTTCTGTCTGCTGTGGAAAGTGGGCGAGTTGAGCAATATGTTCTCCTGTGAAACTATTTCACCCAGAATCCTGGAAGGGGGGAGGCACAGCAGTAAATGTGAATCGCAGTGTGTTTCATATTACAGCGAGCTTAACTGGCTGACTTCCTCATGATGAGTTCCATCATGGTTACTGACGTGTCCCCATTTGTTGGTAAAATGAATAACTCTCCAACTTAGTTTGGGGTTTTTTTCCCCTTTAATCTTTAATGATTGCAAAGCACACTGTAACCTATTTGCAGATTGGAAAGCTACAAGGTCATATAACCTGGCCTTTTGTTTTGTTTTGCGTCCTTTTATCAATGCTCCACGTAACGATCAGTGTGAGTGTGTGTTTGTGTTGGTGTGTATACACAACTCACAGGTGCTTTGTTATATAACTGAACCCTCACAGCAGCATTGTTGCTGAGTAATTCAGACTCTTCCTGATCAGAGCGCTCCAAACAGACATTAACCACATGTTTCTTGTATTGTACGTCAATGTTGCAGGCAGTTCATATTCTGAAAAGAAGAAGTGGGATTGGAATAAAAAGGAAGGCATTAAATTTTCAACTTAATGGGTTCAACGTAGTGGATCTGATCGTACCTATTACCTGTAGAAGTATTTGTTTGTAAGCCAGTCTGCAGAGCCAGAGCCCTCTCCTCCTCCTGGATTACTTCGATAAAAGTACCTCTTGACTCTGATTAAAAGATTGTTTTGTTTTCTTAGCCTAATTTGGTTTAAACATGTCTGGAAGATGCTGCAATAGATGTACTTGGATTCTGCTGTTGGTTTGAACAAACTGTTCCTTCTGTTCAAATCCCCAGTGGATTGGGAACAGGGCAGAGCAAGAGCACACTTACTCATGCTGGCCTGTTAAATTAAAGCCTAATTTAAGTCACGGCGTTGTCCTTCAAATTGAGCAGCACTCCCTAGCTGCTGCTTACACACTCACTTACACTTACTTGCCGTTTTGCTTATATTGTTAGCCTCTCTATGTGGACCTTTTTTCCTTTTAAAAGTAGTGAAAGTAATAAGTAGGATTCCAGGCACTTGAGTTCCTCACCAACAGTTTTTCTTTTGCGTGTGTGGAGTTTTAACGCTAACTCGATCAATATTCACGTCACCCTGTCTTTTATCAGCTGTGCACACTACCTGTGTGTGAAGAGATGCTAGATAAGGAGAAACTATCATGACTATCATGACAAATGAAAACGCATTAGGCTATGTCCACACTAGCCCGGATAGATTTGAAAACAGCGTTTTCGTCTGCAAACGCTCCGCGTCCACACTAGCATTTTTCAGTCATTTTCACCCAAAAGCAAGTGAGAACTAAAGAATTTGAAGAAAAGCTTTTTAAATTGTCTTGGATTGCACACAGAATTAGTAAAGCAATGTTTTAAATCAAGCCTGATAATGATTTCCAGGGTATTTTTCGTTGCTCATTTGTACTCAAATGTATTAAATAAACACTGTTCCTGGATTGGTACCCAGTACTAACACATACCTTATTGTATGTTGAGTTGAGGTAATTGTGTCGTATCAGAACTGGGGTAAAAAAGAAAACAAAACTGGATCCGTGCATTAGTATTAGAGAGAGATAGAGAGAACTAGAGCTTGGGACTCATAAAAGCAGAAGATGGTATTTGTTTTTAATGAGCTGTATAGTCATCGTTACAAAGACAAAGCCTTGACTGTAAGTGGAGTGCATGAGGAAGAATGACAGAATTATGTGTCACTGCATTGATAAAGTTTTGTTGTATGAGTTCATAGATAAACAATAGTGCTGAATCACTCGCTATGCAAGGCACTGATGTACGTATGTAGACCGAGCGGAGAGGCAGAGTTTATCAGTATGAAACAAACACATGCTCTCTCTCTTTCTCTCCCCAGCTGTCAGCTGAACCAACTGCTTCTTAGTAAATAAACAAACAAATAGGTGGGCATCCTCAAGGAAGGCTTCTCCAGAGAAAACAACGAAACACCGCTACCACTCCTTTCCTAAAGGCTCAACTGCCTCACCTAGAGTCTCAGACTCTGAATAGCTCTTTTGAAGACAGCTTTGATTATTACTTTTTGTAACAAAGCAATAGATTTAATTTTTTTTTTTTATCACTGTGCAAGATTGATCTGCACAGTTTGTGAATCTGGCACAGCTCTTGAGTTGTTTGATTGAAGACTTTTTGAGCAGTCAAAATATATTTGATTAGAAGGCTCAGAGGAAGACAAGATAACAGAGACTTACTGCAAACTGACTGTTTATATTGCCAGGTATGATTAATACGTTTCTGCTGAAATAATAGAGAAGTGGAAAGGAAAGCAACCGTGTTGCCAACACAAACAACTGATCTGAGTCTGGAGCAGTTCTTACTTTGCCTGCTATTCTCTAACTCTTTCTCTGAAAAGTTAACCTTCAAACAAAACCAGAGGGACCCTTAATTCAAGGCATTTTAATTATGTTGGAACTGCAGCATATATTAGTACATGCAGCCACGAGTGGCAGCTCGCATTCAACGCTCTAGTAATGCCATAATGGGCCGAATGGCTGGACTGAAGTACTGAACATAGCAAGGAAATCCCCATGTTTTTATAAACCAGACATAACTCTTTTACTCATAGAAAAGTCAGGAGGGCCTGGAGCTTTCTGTGTGGCTGTCTACCAAAGTCCTCAAATTAAATTCTTCTTTTATTTCGACCCATGCCTGCATGTGGTGCAAGGATGCCCCATAACGCCGTCCACTGTTCTTGAGAAGGCGACCAAAGAGGAGGAGAAAGGGTAGGAAATGACGGAGTGTTTGACAGAATACAAAGCGCTGGTGACTCCGTCCACGCGCAATGGTCACCGTGTCTTCAGCTACACGCTCAAGAGCCACACGTCGGCTGCCTTCGCCATCATGAATGAGCTGCGGCTGGAGCGGCAGCTGTGCGACGTCACGCTGCGCGTGCGCTACAAGGACCTGGAGGCGGTGGACTTTGTGGCTCACAAGGTGGTGTTGGCCTCCTCGTCCCCGGTCTTCAGGGCCATGTTCACCAACGGCCTGAAGGAGTGCGGTATGGAGTTGGTGCCCATCGAAGGAATTCACCCCAAGGTTAGTCTGTTTTATCCTTGCCTGAATGTTTTGTTTGATTTGTACTCGTTTAAATGTAAGCTGTAGTATTGTGTTTATTTGTTGACTTCCGAATAACTAAATGGGAATCGAGTTACTCCTCTTTCAGCATAAACTGGCCTCACATTATTACAAGGAAAATCCAGTATGTATGGGACTTGTAACTTTAAAACCAAGTTGTATACCACAATGGGCTTTTCCAGCATTGTTAGAAAAAAAAATTGGCTCCACTTCCACAAAAATTCTGCACTGCTTTAAAGTGAAACAGAAAGTCAGAATTGCTTTAAAACCATACTCAGATTATCATACCTTTATAGATAACACCGTCTACTGTTTTTCTTTATCATTTATCTTTGTACAAGTGCAATTAAAAGTCAAAACTAAATGAATATCAGCCTTACATCACACTGATTATTAACCAAATGGGTTATTCCAAGCATCTTGGAGGGTTTGCTACAATACCTGCCCTTTTTAGTTGCTCTGTAGGACTCCTCCTTGTTGCTATATGACTGCATATTTGGATTTTACATTTTCTACATCACACTTTATGATTGTTAATCTCTTTATCTGAAGTGCCTAAAACATTTTTACAATACATGTAATTTATATTCGGAAAATGTGTGTACCCATGGATTGAGTGCATTTCTCTTTTTTTATCTTTTTTTTCCACGAGCAAATAATATGTTCAAAGTAATTATGAGTCATATGTAAAAGTGCATAAATATTTTTCTATGGTACTCAGGACTGAAGTTCCACCTTTTTAAAAAGTAAGCTCTCTCTCTGTGAAACAGGTATGCACAGTGGCTAAACAGTTTTACCTTGACTTCCTTTACTTGCGTTGGGTGTTTACTGAGCTCACATAGAGCGTGATCGACACAATATCTATGATGTGATAGCTTGTGAGATGCTAATCTGGGTTCCTTCCTTCCAGAATTTAGCATAGCATTAAATAATTTTTCTCTCCAGCTTCTCTCGCTCTAATTTTCTCATCTGTGCACTGACTTCCCACAGTCCAACTCCTTACGTTGTGTCTTTTCACCATTTTAGGTAATGGACAGACTGATAGAGTTTGCCTACACAGCCAGCATCTCTGTGGGTGAGAAGTGTGTCATCCATGTGATGAATGGTGCTGTCATGTACCAGATAGACAGCGTGGTCAAGGCCTGCTGTGATTTCCTCGTCCAGCAGCTTGACCCCAGCAACGCTATTGGCATTGCCAGCTTTGCAGAGCAGATCGGTTGCACAGAGCTCCACCAGAAGGCCAGAGAATACATCTACATGAACTTCAGCCAGGTAAGGCTTAAATAGCATCTCGTTAGAATCACTGAACTGCATTGTTGGGCTGCACATGAAGTTGGAGCCACTCCTTGTAATTGTTTTTTCCTAATTTGTGGAGCTTAAGTAATGATTTTGTAACTTAGAAATCAAGAATTAAACATGGGATATTCTACAAATCTGTTCACGTTTTTGGGGCAGGAAATCTGTGTGTAAAGTGTTTTGAGGTCTGAGTAAACGATGTTTCACTTGCTGCATTGTGGTTTCTTCTGGTGAGTTCAAGCTATGAGTCCACTGGCAGACTCACAGCATGCATTCTCTTCACAAGAAGGCCAAGAGAATTCAAGCTATCAGTCACAATGACTTGCGAGTATCTATGTGGGTTTACTTGCGGCTGAAGCATACCTGACTGCAAAAGATGATGGTACAACGCAGTACAAGAAATGAAAGGACAGTTAATATTTCTCCCTCATAAGGAGATAAGATCAAGGGCAGGTCCAGCTTATGACAAAGACGTGCCACATGTCTGTCTGTGAGGTTAAACCTATAAATGGTGTAATATTCAATACATGCCTGCTCACCAGAGGTTTGACTTTTTAAATATATTGTGGCTGTCAGGGTAGGAAACCAGTTTTCCTTTGTTAGAAAGAGATTATTTGTTGCCAGAGTTGGTTTTGTTCTCACTGTTATGTTATAACTGATCAAAATAAGCAAAAACAAACAAACTGATAAAGATTACATGATTGATCCGTAATTTAAAATAAATCTGTTTGTATTTGGAACAGAGACTGTGCACAGTTTAATTGATCCAGCATTTACTTTAGGTAAGAAAATTAGATGAGAATTTGCTGCTGGTCTAGATTCCATTCAGTCATATATGTCTGGATTTTGGACTTATGCAGCTATCATTAGCGGTCTGGAAACTTTTAGCTCAGAAATATTAATCAGTTGTTTGGAAAATCTTTCCAGTTGTTGTAATTACTCACACCAGATACTTTATTTTTTAACAACACATTTATCATAAAAAGTTACTTTAAATCTGTACTCTTGCTTTCCAGGTAGCAACCCAAGAGGAATTCTTCAACTTGTCCCACTGCCAGCTGGTCAACCTGATCAGCCGCGACGAGCTCAACGTGCGCTGTGAGTCCGAAGTCTTCCAGGCATGCGTGGCCTGGGTGCGATATGACCGGGAGAACAGGCGACCGTACGTCCAAGCCTTACTCCAGGCTGTCCGCTGCCATTCCCTCACCCCCAACTTCCTGCAGACCCAGCTTCAGTCTCTGGACTGGGACCCACAGTGTAAAGACTACCTGGCTCAGATCTTCCAGGACCTCACCCTCCACAAACCCACCAAAGTGATTTCTTGCAGAACTCCCAAGGTGCCGCAGCTCATCTACACAGCAGGGGGTTATTTCCGTCAGTCGCTCAGCTACCTGGAGGCTTACAACCCTTGCACGGGAACCTGGCTGAGGCTTGCCGACCTGCAGGTACCCCGAAGCGGCCTGGCCGCCTGTGTGATCAGTGGGCTTTTCTATGCTGTTGGTGGAAGAAACAACGCGCCTGATGGTAACATGGACTCAAACGCTTTAGACTGTTACAATCCTATGAACAACTGCTGGCTGCCGTGTGCACCCATGAGCGTGCCCAGGAACCGAATCGGAGTCGGAGTCATCGATGGCATGGTATATGCAGTTGGTGGATCACATGGGTGCATTCATCATAATAGTGTGGAAAGGTAAGTGAAGTTGGCTAATAATGGAAGATGGTATTTCTTTTATTACACAGACCAATTCTGCCTATTCTGAATTTATTCTTTTATCAATTATGTGTGTTTGAATGTAGAAAGAAAACCAGCAGTCTTTTACTGGTTGAACAGTTAAGTAACAATTACAGTATGTGGTCAGCACAGGTCATTTTAATGAAAGGCTTATGGTTGTGTCTGTCAAGAGAAGTAATCGGGTAACTTCCTGGAAACATTTTACTTCCTGCAATTTATTTTTAGATCACACAAAGCTGCTGTGAGGGTGTTTGAGTCTACAGGGAAATATTTTTGTAATATTAAACTTAGTGACAATTGAAAAGAGAAACAAGACACCTTTTGTTTTCTCTCTCAATCTAAGCTTGGCACGAAATGCTTGCACGAACATTGTTATATGACCAGATCAAGAAGAACTAATGCTCATTCTTTCTCAGATTGCTTAACATCTTGAGATAATCCTGCCGGATGCGGCTTTTAATCCACACCTGTGAAACGGCAGCTTTGTTTAGGTGCTTTCTGGTGTTGGGTATTAACAGTGACTGAACAACATACATTTTAATAAATAATAACAAAAAGGGAAGCGGAGAGCCCATCAACAAGTCCCATGAGAAATATCCGAGGTGCCGTATTGGCCTTGCTCTGACTAACCTTGACATAAACCTGCTCCAGATTTTTCACTGCTAGCCATTTAAAATGGGGATTACTTAAATTTTAATTCAAGGCAGAAACTTTACCCAAAAGTTGGCTTTGTTCCTAAAATGGAAGATCTTACACAGGTAGCCCACAGTCTCGGTAAAAGAGGAACATGTCCAGCCGGTCTGAACAATCATGTAACATCCGAAAGCACATATGACGCACTGTCGCACAATGGCTAACCACAGATACTGAGGAATGAAACTAATGAATCTGTGGTGCAGACTCCTGGCAGTGGTTCATTCATTGGGATGATTAGTTACAAGAGTTGGTTACATTTGCGATTTAGAAACCCGATAAGTAAACTGACTAATGTTACTAGTTGGCAAAAAGAAAACGGGGAGATAAAGCTCAGAAATATAGCGATAATTACTTTCTTTTCAAACTATGTAGCCTTCTCAGTTTGTGTTGGTTCTCCACAGGTATGATCCAGAACAGGATCAGTGGCAGCTGGTAGCCCCGATGTTAACACGACGTATCGGTGTGGGTGTGGCGGTCATCAACCGGCTGCTCTACGCTGTGGGGGGGTTCGACGGGGCCAACCGGCTCAGCTCCTGTGAGTGCTACAACCCTGAGAAGGATGAGTGGAAGACCATGGCTCCGATGAACACGGTCCGCTCCGGAGCTGGTAAGAAGGAATTGTAAAGCTGCCTCCTAATGATGAAAAACGTTTCTGAAAAACAATCAATTTACACAACTGCCCGTGCAGTTTTCCACCTGTGATTTGTAAAGATATGCAAGACTTCCTGCCCCTGCAGACCTTCCTGTTTTTGCTAGGTAGACCCAAGCAGTGCTTAAACCAGACAGCAAGGGCAGCTTAATAGTGAGGCAAAGCAAATAAACAAAGATTTCAGGTAAAAAGCAACATTTCTCAAAAAAAAGAAATTGAGAAATTAGACAGAACCTATAATGATCTTGCAGTACACATCACAGAGTGTATATGGAAAAAGTGAAGCCAAAATATCTAGGCATTTTATTGCCGTCTTTTGGCAAGCTTTGAGATGTGAAATCCAACTGGACTCTGGGAAGAAACTAGTTACCTCAGCAGTTATTACTCATATCTAGAGAACAGACCAAAGACTTTGGCAGGAAGTCTTTATGTATGGATGCTTATTAGTACTCTTATTGATACTACTTTCCATATTTTGATGTAAAATAAACGGAAGCGTGACTATGGCCCCTTTTGTCAAATTGGTAAGCTTAGTTTTGTGTTGCTTTTTTAACTTCTGCGATAAGTTATGAAAGCAAGGTGTGTTTTGTAGCGTGCATCTGGGGTTAACGACTGGTAACAGGTCTGACCACGTCAACACTGGTTATCGCTCTGTCCACAGTTTTGAACAGTCTGTCCTGTCAACCGTGACCAAAAAACACTGGATTCAAACAAACAGCAATGTTAAAGGTTATCGCTCCAGCAGCAGCTTCCCTGTGATGGGGAGGTTAAAAATTTGTAAACTTTAACTTTGCAGGGTACCAATAGCAGTGCCGTTTGTCAAGGTGCTTATCAGTACTTTGGTATACACCAGTCTCAAATTTTAACAATCAAATGCTGTTACTTGAAACCTGTGTGAAATTCAGTGATTGTGTGGGTCAGTCAAACTTTGATATCATGTAAATCATGTATCTGTTTGTAAAAAGACTTTGAATAGAAATCTAAGTGAAAATGGCCCTAAGCTACCTTTCTCTGTGATCTCAGTGAACTTTCCTCATGACTTATTAGGGCTCAGTCGCTAGTTTCAGATCAGAATAAATCAAACATACACAGATCCAGAGATAACGCCTCACTTCTGGTTTCAAAACATACAGATGGAGACGGTGAAAATGCTCAGGTTGAGGTTTTGTAACTGGACTTCCCAAACCAATGAGTGTCATTGCTCTGGCAGCATCCATCTTCTAAACTGTGTGTGATAGGATAAAGGTGTCCATGAGATATTTTGGCTTTGCTACAGTGGGCAAAATCTGCTATGTTGTCAGTCTCTGTACAGAGTCAATAAACAAGAAGCACTCCGAGCACAATCCCCCACCCAAGCACCTCACCTTTTGGGCACTATTTAAATTTTAAGGGATTAGTATTGTGTTTTGTATACATTCATTTTGTTTTTTGGATTTCATTAGTTTTCAATTTGCTTAAAAAAAATAAAGTTTGTAGTGCAGTAGAAATTAAATGTTGACAATAAAAACATTGGGGCAATGCTAACCACAGAATAAAAATATACATTTTTTATTTAAGTTTCACCTTATTTGACTCCGAAGAAGAGGTCAGAAGTCCAAAGAAAATTTTATCTTTAAAATCTCCATTGATCATACCTTATATGATTAAATGTTTCAAATAGCTCTACGACCTCCAGATCTGTGTGTTGACCTTGAAGAGGTCAAATTTGACATGATAATTAAAATCTTTATGCTGGTACTTCATATATGTTGACACACCACATTTGTAAGGATCATAGTTTCTAAGTTATAAGGATTCTTTCTTTCTTTTTCTTTTTTTTTTTAGCAAATAAATCATTAAGTTGACCTTTAAGATCATGGTGGATGTAAGCCAAATTTGAATGAACCCTCACACAAGTGTTATAATAAACACAACCTCCTTGGCAGAGGTAATGATTTTTCTTAATCAAGAAACTCATTAAAGGAAAAACAAAACACTTATGTGGGGAGTGTGTATGTCTTTCTTTGTGTGTCCTTAAATACATGTTTGGCCTGGAGTTTTAATTGTGTTTTTTTTGTTTTTGGTTTTTTTTTTAATGATGGCAGTCAAAACAAAGCTACCTGTGACCGTAGCGTAGACGTTACTCTTTTCTTCAGCCAGTTCTGCCATGTGCTTACATGTGTCTGCCCACATTTAGTTTGAATAAATGAAAGAGTTGACCTTTTCTTTTAGGCGTGTGTGCACTTGGCAATCAGATCTTTGTGATGGGCGGATACGACGGCACCAACCAGCTGAACACGGTGGAGCGCTATGATGTAGAAACCGATACGTGGAGCTTTGCTGCCTCCATGAGGCACAGACGCAGTGCTCTGGGAGTCACTGCGCTGCATGGACGCATCTATGTGTTGGGTGAGTAATGTAGCTCGTAGAAGCCTGCTGAGAGAAAAGCAACGATTTGATTTACAAAATATGTTTTAATTATTATACCGATATCAATGCAATTATTTTGTTCACCTCTCACATTTACAATCATTGGGTGTGAGCCAGTACTCATTTAGGTCACGAGCACCACACCACAGCATTTCATTCAGGTTGAGGTTTGGACTTTGGGATATTGCAACACCTTCATTGTTTACTTTTTCAGCCATTCTTTAGTAGCTTTGCTTCTGTTCTCGCGATCATTGGCCTGTTGCATAACCTAGTTTTGGCCAAACTTCAGCGGCAGGCAGATGGCCTCACACTTGACTCTAGAATACTTTGGTAAACAGTACTTTGGTCTTGTGGCTGTAAAACATGCCCATATCATCACACCTTCACCACCATGGACGGTTGTCTTGTGGTTTGTTCAATTGCGTCTTTGCAGGTTTGTGGGGTTTGTTTGTTTTTATTTAGTTTTTTTGATCCGCAAAATGCCAAAAAATATCTGATTTTATAGAAGTCCTCACACTTGCTGATGATCAGTTAATCAAGTGCAATTAATTATCAGCACTTAGCTGCTACCGACACTTTTATTTCTTATGCAAGTAGGGAAGGTGTACTTTGGTTTTCACACACTGCCTCTGCGTTTCTGTTTGTGTTACATAATGACAGAGTGTGTAATATGTCATGTGATGTTGTGTTTACCTAGGAAGTCAAAATTAGAAACAGGGTGTGCTTTCTTTTTCATGTGTCTGCGTATTAAAACTATTTGTAGTGTAACCGTTAAGTGTTTAGATGCATTTTGCAAGGCATGATTCACCTTGGGTAACTTGTTCAGTTTTTGTGACTATAAAATGTAAATATTTACATTTTTATGAGTCACAGTAGCAATAACTAACTCCTATTTACTCACTCCACTTAGTGTTTGTTATCCATAGCTCAGATCTGTGCTGTGCTTACAGGAGGTTACGATGGCAGCACTTTCCTCGACAGTGTGGAGTGTTACGACCCAGAGCAGGACACTTGGTCAGAGGTGACCCACATGACTTCAGGCCGCAGCGGCGTGGGAGTGGCTGTCACCATGGAGCCCTGCCAAAAGGATTTATTGCAGTGTCAGGCGTGTGACGGTGGAAGAACCAGTGGCAAGGCGGACCCTTCGGCAAATGCACGCGAAGATCTGAGCAGGACCCGATCCACACACTGACACGCATCTCAAAACTGACCTGTGAAAACTGGTCCTTTAAATTGAGTGTCGTTATAAGATCCAGACAGTCCAGCTTTGTGCTCCAACGCGGCATTTAAAGCCCTCAGCTAGATCATAATTTGTAAAGTTCAAGAAAAGGGCTCCATAGTAAAAAGGTCACTTTACTGGCCCGATGAGTCATCAGGGGCTCTTTATTGCATTTAAAGAGCAAACTAAATCTGATAGGTGAAGGAAATACTTCAAGCGATCAGATTATGTAAACAAAACGTAGCATTTGTGTGTGTGTGTGTGTGTGTGTGTGTGTGTGTGTGTTTAGGGCAGTGATGACTTT